AGTAGTGGAATATATAGAGATGACAGAATGAGAAGCATAAATGGGGTGAGATTAAGCAACAGCTCTACGGATTACCATGGCAGCTACAAGATCTGCAAATAATCAGAATCAGGAATGAGCTCAGAATCATTTTCCTTGCATCTAAATCAGAGCATTTAGAAATTTTAAACTGCTGCTTCAGCTGTGATTTGAAAGCCTCATAAATGTGCAGAATTCAGTTGCAAAGGGAAAGAATGCTTGTCTACAGAAAGACAAATTAACCACTCTCCTGTTTCTACAATTGAAGCAAGAAGTGCCTCTCTCTCTCTCTGTCTCTCTTCACTGCCTTTGCCTTGTACACATCCACCAACAATCCCCCCAGCCTCAGGTTCAGTCTGAGTTGCGATGACCTAACAAAAGTTATTACTTACTGATGCTGGCTCATTTTGAAGTTCTCTATGCTAGTGCTAGATCAATAAAGTTTTCACCAGGTGGTTTCTGCTTTCCTTAGTGACCATTGCCTAGTGAAATGGCCTTCTAACTGCATCAAAGAGTATTTGACACATTCAGACCAAATGGATGTACTATTAGAGCCTTTTAGTAATGACAGCAAAACAGAGGAGGCCTTTGAAGCTCATAAGGGATGTGAAGAGGTGTTAATTTAAGAAAAAATGTCAGGCTATTCAAAGAGCAGGCACAAAGCAAGGTCACAATTAATATTTCACTGTTCTAAAGCACATTTTTCCAGGGTATTCTAAACCATTCCACAAGCACCAATTAATTTTCACAACAGGCATGTGAAATGCCACCTCTGAGTTTTACTCCTGATTGCCAACAAGTTACATTATGGGTTCAGCCACTTTGCTCAGCTATTCTGTGCCTCAGTTTTCTAAACCATGAAATTGGAATAACGATGCCAACTTGCTATGTTATGTAGTTGCGAGGCTTAATTAGCACATATTGAATTCTATGATCTGCAGCAGCGCACGTGTAGATGCTGCCCTGGCTGGCTGGAGTACAACGGTGCTTCAGTGTGAGGGCTTCCTGCCAGCTAACCCTGCACTCAAGTACCCTTGTGCCCCAGCCAACCCCTCCACAGCACACTGAGCTGGGGGAGCAGTACCAGACTAGCAGGCTGACCCCCCGGGGCCTCCTGCTAGCCAGGGCTGCTCCACCTCAGCTAAATGTGCTGCGATCCTGGTCGCATGTGAAGACGCGGTGCCTGGGAGCAATGAACTCCAGAGTTGATTCATGTGCATTAATTGCACGTGTAGATGCACCCAAGAACAATACAGACTTCCATATACTGTATAGGACTGGAAGTATATTCAACACTATGACAAAGTTCACAGAGAAAATGTCTACACTATATTTTAATAATAATGCATACCTTGTAAGCTCTTTGAGGCAGGGACCATCTTTTGGCTCTGGGTACAGCCCCCAGCACAGCAGAGTCCCAGTCCTTAAGTAGGACTCGTACATGCTGCAGTAAAACAAGTAATCATCACTCCCCTCCTCAATATAGCCTCCAACAGACATCATGGTAATTCAGTATCCTCAATAAGGAAATAGGAGAAAAACAACATTCCTTTTCACACCAGCCTTTTTCAAGAAAATTGAAGATTTAATACACTTTTGAAGCCTAGTGAAGACTCATAATAGTAAACTTGAATATACAAAATCTTAATTTATACGGAAGTATGAAATATAGCATGTTAAACTGTATAGAGTTTTATTCTTTAGATCTGTAAAAGACAGGTATAGAATCATAGAAAAGTAAAGTAGGGGTCTTCTAGTCTAACCTTCCCCACTCCCGGCCTTCAGATGCAGGATCATCCCTATTCAAACCACTGTCCAACCTATTAGTAAAACTGTACAGTCAACCCTGACTCAGCCACAAGACATAACACCCTAACCTACCACAGGTAAGGCAGGAGGATTATGGCAGCCAATGTTCTGCAGCTATGAGGGTTGTTAAAATATGCTAGAGAGATCCAATAAAATATGCTTGCTAAAAATATGTTAAAATATGCATGACAGATCAAGAGAGCTAAGCATGTGTGGAAATGGCAGTAGCATAACTAAGGTGGGGGAGATGAGGGAAACAGCCCCAGGAGCTGCCTGTGGGTGGGGAGGGCATAAAAACAGCCGTGACTATAGTGGGCAATCATGCCCTTGGGACTGACACTATGGCAGCAAGCATTGCCCTGGGCATCGCGTGGATGTGCTGGGTAGGGAGCTACATCACCTGGAAATGGTGTCACAGCTTTGTTGATTGAGGCCAAGTGCCAGCAATCATTTGCCAGTGCAAGGATTTGAACGGTGGAGTTCCTCACCCCCAGTCTGGTGCTCAGATTCAGTCTCTCTTCTTGAAAGTTGTGAAGGTGTTTTTTTTCCACAGTAGACTGCATTGTGCAAATTGCTATTCTGGCCCGAGTGAAAAAGCACAGAATCAGGGTATGATTTCCTTGTATAGGGGCTCATTCATGCACAGAATCCAACTGAATGACTCCCCTTAATCTGACTTTTCCAGAGGACTGAAGACGAAAGTAACATCCTCATGAAATGCGGGTCTTTTCTTCTCCCAAGCTTGACAGTCACTTCCAAAGCAAACTGTCATGACAACAAACAACCTGGAGGCGATCCAGCCAATTAATCTGCAGAGGAAGTAGTCATCCCAACCTTGAAAAGAATACTGCTGCTTTAAGCCTCAAATGCCAAAATAACCCGCATGCACATTAATCTTATTACACTGCCACAGGCCTACAGTTAAAAACAATGCACCCTTCAGCATCCTTGCAATGGCATCATAACAACAGCAGTGCACACACGATAATTCCTTCAGAGTCATTCCTTTAAAAGAAGTATTTAGATCATGATGTAGCAGCAGCCCAGCAGGAGCTCTGGAAGCAGAGGTGTGTTCTCAGGCTGTCTACTCACTAAATGAACCCTATCCATGACGAGCTCTTCTGTTCAAGTCCAGCAGGGAAACAGGATGCAAGAAGAGACAGCAAATTCTATGGAGAAGTTGGGAATGTTGCTACTATGCTGCTTTTCCCCGTACTAGCTAGGAACATGGCAGTGACATGCTGCTTCACATTTGTTAAAAATATTTTTCATAGTCTTTAAGCTCTGGATTTTCCCCCCCACCATCAGTGAAAATACCAAATCATCAGTGCTGCCAACCACTATTAAAAATGGTCCTCTTTTCAGTTTTGAGCCAGTTTCCTTGACTCTATGCTTGAAAACTGCTCCACAAACCCCAACCCTTTTTGAAAACTTCCCTCTGATCTCCCCAGCGGCAATTATGCCAACCTTTCCTGCAGCAGAACTGCTATCTAGCACATTGCATTTGTCGCAGCTTCATTTTTCATCAGACAGCATATACTCACTTACTAGAGGAAAATTCAAACCTGGATAGCATTCCCAGCTACGTTATAATAAGGTTTTTTTTTTTATAATAAGAAAGAAGATGTTGCAGTTTTATAGTGCCTTCTACCTGTGCAAACTTGGACAGCTTAATTAGGTTTCAACAACCTTGTGAGACAGGAAAATACCATCCCAATTTCAGAAAGACATAAACAAACCTGTCCCAGAATGTTTGAATGGCAGGAACGGCATAGGGGAATCCCGACTGCAATTGAGCAGTGGATAACATGCCCATTTGCTTACAGTTTTTTTTTGAGCCCACAATGTTAAAATAAAGATGAAAACTTTCCAGAATACTCTTATTCTCCTTAGACACCCATAGCATTTCAACTGAGTCACGAACTATATCTTACAGTATAAGCTGCACACCAGGGTTGCATCTCTTCAATTTATTTCCCTTCTATCTAATCCAGTTTTCAGCTGGTCACATCTTCAAAACTTTCATTTTTCGGGATATTTTTCAGGCTGGATATTCTTTCAGGCTACAATATTTTTTTTGTGAGTTCATATTAAAAAGAAGAAAAAACTAAATCCCTCCCCCATGCATACAGAAACTAACTGTAAAATGGGTACAGCATTGACTTACCTCGAAGTATGGGGATTTGCAGGGTTTTCTTATTTATCTGTTTGAATTCACTCCAACTCCCACAGGAGCCAAGAGAGGCCTTCTCAGGATTTTTAAGCACTTGAAGATCTTCCTACAAAAGCTGCTATAGAAGCACATTCCAACTATGCTAAACAGGCTACAGACACATTTACTGATTAGCCTTAAACAGCTGTAAGGAATCCTTAGGGTGCTCAGATAGAGGGCTACATGCATATTGGGTAAGACTACTTTCAAGACCGTGATAGAACTGGTACTTCCAAAAGAGGCCAATCCAGTAATATCACACTTCTTCATAAATCAGTTTCTTAGCATTTAGGTATAGCATACTATTTTAGAAGAGAAGCTAAATTAAAAAACCCCAAACCTTGTACCTACCTTGAGGGCTTTCACAACTTTCTTCATCACTGTTGTCCTGGCAGTTGTTTTGATTGTCGCACACAAAGCTTTTATCAATGCAAAGTCCATTCTTACAGTGGAATCGGGCAGTTGAACACAACAAGGGATTGGCTGCTAGGAAAACAAAGTATGATCTTCCATTAGAAACTTTAGCTGTCACCCAGAGAACTAAGCTGTCTTTAGGCATTCCTAAAACTCATTATGGATTGCAGTTCAAAACTTGGTTGACTCGCCAAGTCTGTTAGAATGACCTGGAAATCATGTAAATGTACTACTTTTAAACAAAGTAACATTCATTACAAGTAACAGGAAGTTAATTGCTCCCTGCCTTGATAGGCCTCGTGTTAAAGCTGTACTTTATCACAATCACTCACAGTCCACGGACACAAAACTACTTACTGGGCATGTCTACATGAGACATTTACTGCAGACCTAATTAGCTCCACAATAAAACATCAGCATCTACATGTGTAGCACTATTAGTTTGAAGTAAACAAGTACTATCCAACTGCGGCATTATTTAGTGCATCCCAGCACATGCCTAGACACTGACCAGGCTGGCTGGGGCATGAGGATGTTTCAGTGCAGGGGCTGGCTGCCAGCTAGCCCCATGGTGAAGCACTCGTGCCCCCAGCCAACCCCTCTGCAGCATGTTGAGTCGGGTTGGAGCAGACCCAGGATGACAGATTGACCCTCAGACCCCCTGCCAGCCGGGGCTGCTTCACCCTGGCTCAACATGCTGTGGTCCTGGGCATACATGCAAACAGTAGGGCTGTGTGAAATTTTGGCACCTGTTTCATTTCAGAGGTGTTTCGGGCCATTTCGGCACCTGAAACACCAAATCCAAATCGAAATGGAAGGCTCCGAAACAGCTCTGAAACGAATCGGAAGGCTTCAGAATGTTTTGGGAATGTTTTAGAGAATTTAGGAGTCGGGCTTGCAGGGAAACAAAAACTAAGAGGGAGGGGAAAGAGGGGGAGAAGGACTGCTTTGATATTGACATCTAGCTCCCGGTTCAATTCCCCAGCTCTCTGATCGCTTCCCCCAGCTTTTCCCAGGGGACACGGGCCTCCGATCTTCGCACGGGGTTTCAGCAGGCTGCCGCTGCAGGCTGGGGCCAGCAGCAGCTGCTCAGCACAGCCAGTGCCAAGCACCAGGAAGACTGCAGTGCTGCCACTGGCCCAACTGGGGGCCCACAGCCCCTGGGAAGATTTGGGAAAAACTGAACCGGGGGCTGGGGAATCCCTGCCGCGTAATCTGGCTCTGCAGGGAGCAGAGATCTATGCCGGGGTCTCCTCACCGCTGCTACCTGCCCCGCACAGCCTCAGCGGGGGGGCAGGCAGTGGTGGCAAGGAGACCCCCAAAGCAGATCTTTGTTCCCTGAGGAGCCAAGTCGCGTGGCAGGGACCAGCAGGTTAGCTCACCATTTTGAGCTGCTTCCCTGCCCCACAACCCAGTGTGACACAGATCAGAGACACAGAGGGCAGCGGCCCTCCATCTCTCCTGGATGAGCCACCCATGGTACTATCCTGCTCCCCATTGAGGCCCTGCAGCTCTGCCTGGCTGGGTAGGGGTGTGCAAAGCTTACTTGTCAGCCTGTCCGAAAAAGATGTGGCCAAAACAAAACAGGAGAGTGATCTGAAACACCAAAACGAGTCACTTTCCTCTGAAACAGCTGAATCCGAAACCTAACTGAAATACAGCCGTTTCATACAGCCCTAGCAAACAGCATGCCCAGGAGCAATAAACTCCATCACAAACTATGCCAGAGTTTATTCAGTTACTTTAATAGCACATGTAGACGCGCCCACAGTGAGGCAAGAGAGCTTAGGAGCTTGTCACATTTCAGCTGCTCTGTGGTAACTGTGAAGCCAGGCACTCTTAATCATGATAAACCAAAGCCAGATCAGGGTAGTTTAGCAGTATCCCCTTTCACACTAAGCTGCTGTGGGCTATCTTTCGTATACCACAGGATAAGAGAATGCACATAGACAATTACTATAGAATAGGTGATATAGCAAATCCTGCCCTCTTTTCCGACATGATAGTAAGTTCATGCATACACACACTTTGATATTTAATATTCACTGACATTACAGGCAGAACTGTTAACATTGCCTCTTTGTAACATTGCCTGATACGTTGTAAGATCCTATTGTAGTTACTTAGAACTTTGTCAGATATTACCATCCAGGCTGAAAAATGCCAGACAGGGTACCAGCCTCAGGCATTTTTGGTATAAATTTCTAATTAAAGGTATTCAATCATTTCTGAGCACAAGACTGTGGAAAAATACATTATTTGGATTATGCTAAAAAAGAAACATTGTTTTACTGCCCTCCCCCTTTTAAAAAACAAAACAAAACCCTCTTATGAAAAAGTTCTGCCATGTTTTAGAGTAGGGATTTAAAATTTGACAGTGAATAACCTTTGTGTCAAAAATATGCCTCTTGCCATCCTGCTGAAAATTTGTTTAAATATGGCCATGGCATAAGCCTTTGCAGAGCATCTGCAAACTGTTCTTTTTCAGAGACTTCGTAGAGCTTTTCAGTTTTAATTCCCCAAAGATTGCATCCCCACTAAACATCCTCCAGTCCCAGTCTGAATAGGGCTTCCTACTTCATACAGCCTGCAACCGCAGTTCCCAAATGCAGTACTGGGTCCAGGCAATGGAACTAAAGTGGAGACAAGCTGTCTCTAATTAAAGACTCCATCATAATACATATACACTAAGAGACTAAATTAAAGTTATATAAAAAACTTGAAATCTGACGTTCCTTAACTTTTGAGTGTTTGGCTTTGCAAGCTTAATAATGTTATTTTAATTTTTTTCCCCCTCTGAGTGCAATATTTCTGTCACAGCAATGCTCAAAACCACCACACACAGAAGAGGATCTCATTGTGTTACACGATACAAAGACACAAAATAAGAAAGACAGGATCAGTCCAAAGAGCCCGCTGTCCAAATAGAATCATAAAAGTAAGAAAAAGCCCTCTTATTACACAGCCTAGCCAGCACTGGGGGGTTTTTTTGTTTTGTTTTTTTGTTGTTGTTGTTGTTGTTGTTTTTTTTACAGCACTTCCACTCTTGTCCAGTCTTATTTCAAAATGTCTCAAACCGTAAGATTTTCATCATTTCCCTTGGGACACTGTTTCACAGCCTAACACATCTCTTCATCAGGAAGACTTCCCTGATACTCATCTTAAGTTTTCACATTCCTTTGGGTACCACACTTCTCATCCAAACTACTCTCCCAAACTACTACACGAAATAATCCCTTTCCCAAAAGAGTGCTTACACCATTCATATAGTACATTTCTGACTTTATCTTCCTGCTTAGTCACTGCTAAGCAAGGCTGTACGTAATTTAGCTCTTCTAATATCTCCTGATAAATCACTCCTCCAGCCCCTTAATCATTTTTGTCACTCTTCTGTGAACCCTCTCCAACTTTTAGAAATGAGGTGATTGAAACTGAATGCAGTATTCCAATTTTAACTTTAAAAAGCAGTTGACAGTGTCCCTTTAGATGCCTCATCTGCTTCAAAGTGCTTCCCTGACTGAATTACAAAGGGAATTATGGCTGTCAAAGAGTAACTGGCTGCCTAATTTTCTGCTTTAAACTAAGCAAAAAAGCCCGTCGTGTGGTACAACTTCTGAATCCCAGAATTGAAAAAAAAAAGAGTTTAGAGACTTCTGTGCATATAATCTACAGTATATAATTCCACGTCTGGGCTAATTATATGTGTGTATACACCCCACCTCAGTATGTGTTTATAATGCAAATGCTAACTTTGCATTGCCCTGAAGCTGCTGCATAAACACATGGCAGTTAATTTCAGAGGTTACATCAGGGGCTACTGCTTCTGTCGCATCTAGGCTAGGAACAGCAATTATGCATAAACTGGTATAAGTGTTTGGAAATCATGTCAAATCTGTAACATAACAGAAGTTTGGTGATGTAAACCGCTTTCAAAATGGCTGAAACTGGCTTAAGATGAACCTGGATGGATGTAGTATCAGATTTAACTTGAATCTGCAGGGAATCTGGGAGAGAATTTCAATAAACTGATTTAACCTAAATCAGTTAACTCACACTCCTCCAGCATCCCAGAATGCTTTGCACCTCCCCTGTAAACTCTCCCTCACAAGGTGGGTAGGCTAGCCTTGCCCCAATCTGTCTGTTCCAGCCAAGCAGGGAGGCAAGATCTAGTGCTCCCCAGCTTCTGGCCTGGGACACTGCAGGCATGTGGCTGCTTTTCCAAAATGTCTGTTTCCAGAAAAGTGAATGTCTGTTCACTTGCTTATTGGTTCAATCTATGCACCTTAGACTAACCTGTGAAGATTGAACTGATTCAACCTCAGGCTTTTTAACTGCCTGTACATAGCCTTAGAGAAGCTTGCAAGAGGGGGAGGGGGAGTAAAGCTATACAACCAATTGTAAGGCATGCCTAGAACTGCATACCATATACACTTTGGAACTGCATACCATATACACTTTGGAAATTACGTAATTGGTAGCAAATTGCATGTGTGCTAAAATGATAGTCATTTTCCCTCCCACCATCTCAAAGGCTTTATTAGCCTAGAGGCGGGCAATTATTTCAGGCAGAGGGCCACTTAATGAGGTTTGGTGAGTTGTTGAGGGCCGCATGCATAGCACCACCCCTGGATGGCTACCCTAGTCGCCATATTGGGACCAGAAATCCCACTCCCTAACCCCTGACCTTTGCCACCGGAAGTCCCTCCCACTGCCCAACAGAAATGCTCCTGGGGGGGAGGGGGTTGCCATCTGAGATCCACAAAAAAAACAAATCATACACTAAAAGTCAAACACCTACTATAATGTATTTAAATTTTATTATGGAAAATATCTTTGTCATGATTTGTGTTTGTGTACTGTATATAGAGGTGATGGCATAATAGCTCAAAAATAAATTCTTAGTCTTGTAGGGTGTGTGTGTGGGGGGGTGGGATGCTGTGGGGGGAATTTGTGAGGGGGTGCAGGTGTGTGGGGGCATAGGGTATGTTGGGGAGTTGTCTGGCATTTGTGGGGTGTGAGTGTGTGGCTCTGGAACACACTGTCTTCTCCTGCGGTCAAGGCAGGCAACACTGGTGCGCGCGCGCGCATGTGTGGCGTTTATGGGGTGGGAGGGAGGGTAGGAGAGGTGTGGGGACCCCCTACATACACTCCCCCCATGGTACAGCATCAGGTAGAGGCACTGGTGCTTGGTTCTGACCAACGCTGCACATTGCAACCCTGCCTCCCCTGCACTTCCCTACCTGCTGCCCAGAGGAAGCGAGGAAGTCTGCAGCAGCAACCCCACCTGGTACTACAGGGGCATGCACAAGGGTGGGAGCAAGGCATAATAGGGTATGTTGAGGGCAGATGTAGGTGCCTAGTCATGTAGGTGTCCAGAGGAGGGCCACCCGCATGATCCAGGGACAACAGGGCCGACTCTACAGTGAGAGACTGCGGGACCTGAACCTATTCAGCCTCCACAAGAGAAGGCTAAGGGGGGACCTGGTGACTGTCTATAGACTCACTAGGGGGGACCAGAGGGGTTTGGGGGAGACGCTGTTTCCCCTAGCGCCCGCTGGCATAACAAGGAGAAATGGGCACAAGCTGTTGGAGAGGAGGTATAGATTGAACATCCGCAAAAACTACTTCACCGTTAGGGCGGCTAGGAGCTGGAACCAACTTCCAAGGGAAGTGGTGCTGGCCCCTACCCTGGGGGTCTTTAAGAAGAGGCTGGATGCCCACCTAGCTGGACTCGTTTGAGTCCCATTTCTCTTTTTGGGGTTTTTGTTGTTCTCCCGCCCTGGCGGGGGGTCGGGCTAGAAGATCTACTAGGTCCCTTCCGACCCTTAATCTATGAATCTATGAATCTATGCCTTGCTCCCACCCCCACAGACAGAAGGGCTAGGCAGGGTACAATTTGTTGTGGGGTGCTGCGGGCCAAACGAAAGTGCCTAGTGGACCATATGCAGCCTGCAGGCTGTGTTTTGCCCACCCCTGGTTCTAGGCAGATTTGTCCAAAGCTCCTTTTGGTACCATTTGTTCCAAAGGTAACCCAACGACCACAGATCATTTCCATGCCCTTTAATCCTCTTTACCTAACTTCATCCTCTCAGCAGGGGTGCCATGTCCCTACTCAAAACCTTCCAGGATGCCAAATGGGCATTACAAGTCACCAACAGGTGGCATCTTAAAGAAAGGTCAGAGACATCTGTTTTACCATAGAGACATCAAGGGGTGTGGGAGGGAAGTATAGAGACAAGGAGGACATGTCCTCCAAGCAGCAGACAGTGATGCATCACCATAAAGATTACCCTTTTGTTATCTGAGAAAGCTGGTGTCTGTTGTCCTCCATTTGACCTTTACATGTAATTAAGAGGAAAAAAATCTAACTCACTCTAGCAAGAGTGTATTTCTTGCAAGCTACCATCTACAGACCCACAGCATGTCAGGGTACCAAGCTCTGCTAAGAGCAGCAGAGCCACCTAATGTACCGAAAATAACCTTTTTTTTTTTTTTTTACTGCTATGATACCCCCCAGCAGTAGTTATACATACAAACAGATCTATCCAGCCATGTGCAAAGGTTTTATTAAAGTGTTTGAAACTCAAACTTTCTACCTTGACTTCTCTGCAAACTACCCACCAGGAGAATGACTCGAGCCAGTGCATCATCAGGTTAGGAAAAAATGTTCTCCTCTTTACAAGAAGTTAACCAAAATATACTCTCACCTCAACAATTTTTAATTTTGTAAACTAGGATATACCAAGGTGTCCAAGTATACTTATTGCTCAGAGAAGTCAACCTTTTCTGCCTAAAACAAAAAGATGACATAGCAAAGCAAGTTAATTTTTTTCAGCCACTCAAGTTTGCCCAATCTGGGTGAGATTCGCCTCTGTGTACAAGAGCCTTACAATGCCTGTCTGCAACTGAATTCCCATTACAAAGTTTTAAGTGGAATTTAAGGAACAGAGAGAGTCTATTCTGTAACACCTAGGGCCAGCCATAAAGGGGTGAATTGTCTTATTAGAAGTCACATGAAAAAGTGCTGCTTTTTCAACAGCCAGATTCTGAGATCTGAATGTCCAGCTGGACCCTACTATCTTCTGTTGCCACCAATAATAAAAAGCTAAACAGTAGAGGCAGATCTGGGGGTGGAGGTTTGGGGTTCAGTTGCACCCCTCCCCATCCCCTTTGATTCCTGCTCCACTGAAAATGTAAAACCAACTGCCCAGGGCAGACAGCTGCATTTCTGTTCAAGGAGAGCTGAGGAAGTCAACTGAATTTATAGCAATGCTTGATTCCTGCTAACCTCTTTACTCCATAGCTGTTAGCACCCCTTGATCTACCTCTAATCAAGCTAGGCTTTCTTTGGCAATTATCCTGTCTGTTATTTACTCCTGGTAATGTGTCTCCGCTTAGCCCCCAGCACGTCCAATAAAGTTGTGCTTCTACCTAGGAACCTGTACTGAATGGCTTTGTTCCTAGGGAATATAAATCTGCGATAAATCAGAAACAGGAGGGGGAAGGGAATAGCTAGAAGCAGGCCTAGCTCTGTAGTGGGGCAGTATTCAGAAACAGGAGGCGTTGCAAAGAGGAGGCAAAGAGGTACATTTTTTCAGTGACCCTTTACAGAAGCTATAGAAGGCTGAGCCAGCAGCACAATCATGGCAGCATAAAATGGGGAATGGTGGATAAGAGTGGTTGGTCCCCCAGGTAAAAGCATGGCCAATGACTGGAGCAAATCTTCCCTCAACCCTGTTTGTTTCTGTAAATTGAGGGTAGAGAGCAATGGAGACCAGCTATGGGCATGTTGTGAGCAAGTGGGGGAGCAGGGCAGAAGTAGTTACAGCCCTGCCCCTATCTGCTCCATGGTTTGGGGCTGTGAGATGTGAGGGGGACTGTTTAGGAGGGATTTAAGGGAAGGGGCTCTGAGGATCTGACTGTGGGGAGTGGTCCATGGGCAACAGGGATTTGGTGGGGGGAAAGGGCCTGTGGGGTAGAGAGGTGTGGAATAGGGAGGGGCTGGGGTATTATGGGGGTGGGAACGAGGGACAGATGGGGTTTGCAGCTAAGGGAGGTGGTGGGGTCTCTGAGGGTGAAATAAGAGTACAAGGGGGGTTGGGAGAGCTGCAGTGAGGTTGGAATGCTCAAAGAGTCAGGGGAGGGCTCAGTGAAACATGAGGGATGGAGCAGGGTTGGGGGGACTGGGACATAATCAGGATACGTCTGTGCAGGGTGCCATGGATTCATGGGGGCAGTGAAGGGGCAGGGTAGGATGCAGCCGGATGTAAAGTAGATGGCAGGGTCTGATGGGTTTGGGGTGGAGCTGAGCATGAGGATGTGTGGCTAACAGGGGACAGAGTGGACCTAGGGGGTATCTGAAGTCACAGCGGCAATGCATAAAGGGAAATGAGGGGGGCTTTGGGGCCATTGTGTAGTTATGGCTCACTTTTCTGCAAATACCACTTTAGAAACAGAGAATAAACAGACTTTCTAAAAGCAGGACCTGTGGCCAAGATAAATCGGTTAGTTTTTAAAAGACAGAGAGAGAAAGAGAAGCTCCTTTAAGAAGTGCTGAAGTTTTCACTCCCTGCTGTGGCAGATTCCTTACTGTTATTAACACTATAAATATCTGCTTACTGCCCAGGTGTCTTGTCATTTACAAAGCGAAAAGCACAAGACAAGCTGGGTAGTAAATAATAGGGAGTGTGCATCTGACTCAGGACTAGGGCTCAACAGCATTTTCTTCCTATGTTATATCGATTTGCTGAAAGAAAAAGAAGATGTTTCTCTGTTTCCAGACAGACTTGGCACTTACTGCAGTTTTCCTCATCGCTGCCATCTGGACAGTCCTCAAAGCCATTGCACTGGAAGCGGCCAATGATGCAATGGATACCACTAGCACAGGGGAAGAATGTGGCCCCACATCTAGACTTGGCTTTTGCTGAAATACAAACAAAGACAGCAGGAATTAGGAAGGGTTTACAGGAGACCAAAACATTTCTATCACAAAAGGAGCTATTATTAGAGATGAGGCGATAGCATCACCTGGTATTAAGGTTGTCAGTGCTCTCTCCATTGTAAGACTAGTTTTCCAGTGGCTTATGATGCTGCCAAACTGTTTGGCTGAACTGAATGTTTCCATGCCTCAACCTGAATCTTTTGGTCACCCGAAATATGTTTTGCCCTGTTAAAAGGTTCTGGTGACCTTTTCTTAGGAGGATTCTAAAAGACCTAGGGTTTGACCACAGACTCGAAATTTAGCAGGAGGGCCGGACCATGCCTTCACAGCATCCAGGAGAATGCTCTCTGGTATCCCCTTGGAAATTCACATGAATTTCCCATCTTTGGGTGGAAAAAACCCACAATTAGTATACAAGATCACCAAAGCTCTTTACAGAAGGCAGTCATTACCATTTACCTATTACACAGGCAGAAAATGGAGACACAAGGATAGAAGTAACTTGCATGCTCACCCAGCAGGCCAGATGCAGAGATGGGTGCACTGATAAGAGCTTTGCAGCCACAGCCCAAGCTTTTCCCTGAAAGTATGGTCTGTTACAGTCTGCAATGGGTCCAGGTACTTAAAATGAGAACCTAAATTGGGGGCTCCTTTCTCCTGGGTTCTTAAGAGAGGTGTAAGCAGGGCAACTGGCAGCTATGATGCATACGGCTGTGATGGCTGCAGGGTCCCCCTGCCACTGTTCCTAAGACACAAAAGAAGAGCTGCTTGTCCCAATTTCCAATTCCTCCCACCCCTCCACTCCCCAATTATGTTACCAGTTATTAATGCTCTTCCTGCTAGGCTCAAGAAGCCTAGTTGAAAAAGATACCTATTTTAAATGCAGCGGAAATAAGAGCTAGGCATAGGGTCACAGAATGGAAAGAAGAGCCTGGCAGTAGGCGAGGAAAACTGGGATTAGAAATTGGGGTGTGGAGGGAGAAAGCAACTTGCTACACAAAGAAAAGAGGATTAGGAACCAGGAGAAGGGAGGAACATCCAGATTTAATGATGAGACTGTGAAGGAAGTCTGGGACACAAAAGCAATTGGTAAGACCATGTGGGAGGAGAAAGACAAGAGGCCGGAACAGCGGGAAAAGAAGAAAGATTAGTTGAGGTGCCAGGCAATTGGGTCCTGTGACTGACAGGGCAAAAAAACTGGGGATACTAGTGCACACTCCCATCCCGGACCTGGATGGGACCCCAAAGTTCCTTTGAAGTCAACACATCTATGTGAAAATCAACTAATGATTGTGTATGCTCAGTCTTTTTTCTAGTTCTGGTCCACATGGAAGATGACAACCTACTACTGCTATCAGTTGGTTTGCTTGGATGCGGTCAGTGGAGCAGCCCACTAGGGTGCCACCATAGTGCCACTTATGACATTTCTGTTTTTTCAGTTTGCACTTACACACACAGACACACCCACACACACACATGCACACGAACATTAAGCTTATAAATTAAGCATTCAAAAATGCTAGAATTAACATTGTTAATTCAGCATCCATGCACATACACATTAGAAGTTACACTGACAACTTTCTGAATTCTAATGTTTTTAGTTTTTAAGTATTTGACTTTATTAAATAAATATTAGGACGACTGGAACCTTTTTGTCTGCAACAGGAAAACACAGACTGCACGAACTGTCTCCCTTTCTCCTCTGGTATTTGTCTTTTCTTGGTTCATAAGTTCTTCATGACAGTGACTATGTCAATTTAAGAGCACCAACACAGTAAATAATAAGGAATAAAAATAGGAGCATCAAAACATCCTGAGCAAACAAGATTTAAACACAGCCGTTCTATAATCTGGATCTTTGTGTTTGTTGCTTTGCAGCACACCAAGGCCACTTTTATCATGGCAAAAGCAAAGAAAGAATCAGAGCCCCTCACTGCAAAAACATAGGTCTCCATCACTTTTGTTCAATGCAAGAGGTCTGGATAAAGCAGCCATGGATAACCCATTCCCTGGAGCATGTCGCAAGGATCCAATAGGGTAGCTGAACAACACATCTGTTCAAATTCCTTGATTCCCTTCTCTTAAGCTATTTAGGATTAGCCTGCAGCTACTATGTCCTTACACCTGTATCCCAGCATTCTGGTTCCTTTGGAAGAGTTCCTCCAAAGTACAGCCAGTCATTGAGCTTACAGTGTTTGTAACAGTCCCCAAACTCAGATGCATGCCAGGTGTGTCTCTGGGACACACTCCCAAGGTACTTCCACACCTTTGTCGTGCCCTTCTGCCCCAAACCCATCTCTACTGACTGCTGCTTGAACACTAAGAATAAATGGAGATGTACCAGGAGTCAGCTCATTGGCCTGATATGCTTCAGCCCTACCTGTCTGTCTCAGGCCACACCAGCCCTTAGTAGAGGGGATTCTGCCAGCTAGTGACCAGTCAAGTTTTATGAAAAGATGGACCTCCTTACATTCCTTAGAATGGGCAAACCTGCATGGTTAAAATCACTGGAATCACTGACAATAAGTGGGATATAAAAAGATAACCAAAATACTCCTGTATTATAAAACAGGAACAAGCATAAGAAATAAGTTACCATATGTTGAGATACAGACAGAAGTATAATAATAAACAAACAAAAGAAAATATCAGAACACTAACCCATTCTTGCTCTGCATCTTTAATCCAAAAATGTAGTCTCCACCAAGCTCATCAGCTGGGGGACTCCAGCATTTCCCTATATCCAGGAAAAACTGAAGACCCAACCATGCTCTCAAGGCAGGCTTAAGTATAGTTGCTTATGTAGCTATTCACATATATCAACTCTTTGATTCTCGGGAGGCCAGCTCTATGCATATCTCTCTCTGCCCCCCCACCCTCCACCGAGGTGCATGTCTGCTAGAGTAACACCTTTCCTCATCTAATTAAGAGTAGAATATGTGCATTATTTAAGACATGGAGACTACTAATCCTAAAGATGATCGCAGATAATTTCCCCCTGTGGAAAGAAATCTCCTTCCTCCAAATAGTTTGACTACCATTGTCAGGTAAAGTCTGGCTCCTGTGCCTGAGAGCACATCCATGTGGGACAGGAGAAAACAACTCAAGTCATATGCTAATTTCAAGGCATTACTGCTCCTCAAATACTTAGGCTTGGGGTTCTTCCTACAGGTCAAAGAAAAGCACAGTTTACTACTTGAAAGTCATTCTCACATTGTGTAATCCTGGCCCTACTATAGCACATAAGAAATACATTTTATATCCAATACCACAATACATGTGAACAGAAGGGCGATAAGGCTAAATGCACCTTGACATTACCTGTACATAGACATTATGCATGCCATATCACCAAAACTTAAATCATGCAAGATACCCCACAAAGCCCTTAGGTTCATGGCAGTGCCCTTTCACAAAGCTGGCTTTTATGTGTGCATGTGTGGGTAGCTGAAAAAAAATCTCTCATTTTTGCAACACACAGATTTTGAGAAGGCCCCTTGAACTGGACTTCAAACAGTGCCAGAATGAGTCTGCATGGCACAGACTGGCAAAGTTTAATGAGAGTATGATGAAGCAGCGGTATGGGAGAGATCAAAAGGAGGCACAGGGGATAGCAACAGAAACAGAAAAGTGATAGCCGTTAAGAAGGGTGATGGCTGCTTTGGCTCTGAGACTTCAGTATTAATTTGCAGGAGATTCTCTCTTGCAGAGCTGAAGCGAGTACAGATGCACTGAAGCCTCTTTCCTAAGTTGTTCAGCAGATACTGTAATATAAACTGTTTTAAGAGAAGTCACACAATCCCTCTTATTTGATTTAATACCCTTCAAAACAAAGTCTGCAGTTCCTCTCGCACTTTCTCTTCATCGTACAAGACAGTCTCAGTTCAGATTAGGAAGTGTTAAATGAGATCTATCAGTGAATTTCACATATCCACCAAACTACCATATTTTCTGAAGCGAATCCAAGGTCCACTCAGAAATAATGGGCCATTGCTTTGAAGAAAACAGGTAATAAATTATCCTGGAGTTACCATCACATTTAACACACACTAACTTTGGCAGTGGAAAAAAACCCTCCCAATATTTGAAAGACTTCAGAACTCCTTCTACAGATAAAACTTGTAACCACAGAGCTTGTGGTTTCATGGATTTTATCAACTAATTGAATAGCTTTAGGATATGAGAAAAGTCCGTACTCCTTTTTTTTTTTTAAACCACCTCAGCTACAGATTCCAAAGACCACTGAAAGTACCACCACACCAGGCAGAATTTCTGATCTCTGCTGCTTCTCTTAAAGTAAGAGAAACCCAAGAGAAACCCAAGAGAACCTGGGGCAGAACCAACCGAAGAGAAAAGGGGGCTCATGTAGACTTACTGGGTGCATCTACATGAGACACTTTACTGCACATGAAACAAATCTAATGTGCATTCAAGTGTCACTGTCTACACGTGTGCAGCAATTAATGTGCAGTATATTAGTTTAATGCACCAATTTCTAGTACCTGTAGATACATGTACTGTAGATACCAATACTAAACCATCCCAATCTTCATGTAGCAGAGAGAGCTGTCCCAGTTACTGGGCAGCTGCCTCCCAGCCATGTGGACATTGGGACTCCTCCTGATCTCCACATGGGTGCGAGAGTTGATCCTGCCAACTCAGGGCAAGCCCGATCTCCCCCCAGCTGGGGCTGCCCACCAATCCACGACAGCTCCTCCACCCCACCCTTCAGCCCTCCAGAGCTCGGGGCTAAGCCCAACCACCCTCTGCCAGCCTGGGGCTGGCACCCGGGGGAGCCTGGAGCTCCAATTTGCTCCTGATGGGAGTGCATGCGTAGATGTGCACCAGAGAACACTTTAATGAACCTGAATGTTCTGCACAGAAAATTGAGGCACATTAACTGCATGTCTGCACATGTAGACAAGCCAAGCATCTCCGTTATGAGTAGCTGATTCTTTCATTTCAAGACTGTGCACTAT